GGAGGGAGAGGGGAGAGACCCACAAAGACTCAAGAAAGGTGCAGAGTGGGCACAGCTCAGCTTGGGGAGAGGAAGGAGGCTTGGAGATGGATGGTGGTTGCACAAAACTTTGGAAATGTGCTTCATGCCACGGACCTATATACTTAAAACAGTTAAAATGATCCACTTTGTTATGTATATTTTGCCACAATAAAAAAGACAAGAAAGCCTTAGCTGGCTGACTCAGTGGATAGAGCGTCAGCCTGCGGACTGAAGGGTCCCAGGTTCGATTCCAGTCAAGGGCACATGCCCGGGTTGCGGGCTTGATCCCCAGTAGAGGATATGCAGGAGGCAGCCAATCAATGATTCTCTCTCATCACTGATGTTTCTATCTCTCTCCGCCTCTCCCTTCCTCTCTGAAATCAGTAAAGATATATTTTAACAAAAAAACAACACAAAAACAGGAAAACACAGGATCCACGAATCACATAAATCCTCATTCCAGGAACAAAAGGCACCTCAGCGTCTGCCTCACTGCATTGCTCACGGCAGGAAGAGTGGAAACACAGAAATGCTCTTGGACATGACGAGCCCACAGACAGGCCTGGAGCGTACCTTTGCGGAGTCCGTGATGTTATCCCAGTAGGGGGCTGGGAACTCGAGCTTCCCGGCCAGGATCTGGTCAAAGAGGTCTTCCTGAAGATTGTTCTCGCTGTTGGCAAAAAAGAAACGGAAGCAGAGCCAAGGTCACCACAGAGTTTCCAACAAAACACTCAAGAGAAGAGTAGGGAGAGGAGTCCAGCCTCGGGCATGTCCTATCTCCACTGCATGTGTGATGACACACTTTTCCCTTTAGATGTAAACAGTGAGCTTGAGAACACTTCCAATCTCTCCGCCTCTCCCTTCCTCTCTGAAATCAATAAAGATATATTTTAACAAAAAAACAACACAAAAACAGGAAAACACAGGATCCACGAATCACATAAATCCTCATTCCAGGAACAAAAGGCACCTCAGCGTCTGCCTCACTGCATTGCTCACGGCAGGAAGAGTGGAAACGCAGCGATGCTGAGCCAGATCCCCTTGCCCTTCCTCTTTCCCCTCTTCCAACCCAACAGCCAAAGGTGAGTGAAGCGGCCAACACGTGAAAGAGTCCTCCAGAGGTCAGAGTCGGGGTTGAACAGCGAGGACCTAATTGGCTCCCCATGGGAGCCCGACGTTCAGGTAAGCTCAGTCCGGAGGGAAGAGCCCCTGGAGGACATCAACGAGAACCGCACAGGTTGAAACGAGCTCCCCTCGCCCCACCTGTGCCTCCCGGTCACAACCTTAACGGTGCACTGGCTGGTGCCTAACAAATACGTGATGACTTGTGACAGAAAGCGCTGGGGAAAATGCAGCAAGCGGATGCCCCGCCCCCACCCCCAGGAACCTGCTCCTGCACAGCCACAGAGCCCCTCGCCTAATGGGCTCATCCAAGGCCAGAGGGAGAACAACGTCCTTGCCTTCCAGGGTCATTACCAGGTCCCAGCAGAAAACTCAGCATGGACTGTTGGAGTCAAGATCACAACCCAGAGGTGGAGTCCAGTCCACCTGGCCAGTGTCCAGCATTTCTTAGATTCCCGACACGACCCCGCAGCCTGGTGCTCGGGGGGCTCACAGGCCAGAGCGGGCAGGCACAGTGTGCTGTCCTTAGACACAGGCAGTTTAGGACAGTGCCCAGAGTCGGACTCCGGGGCGGTGAGACGATGTGGCTATTTCATTCTTGTTCTATGAAAAAGAGTGGCGTCTTTGCGATTTGCAAATATCCATGACCTCTACCCAAGCCCAGTTCAATGCACAGCTGCGGGCCACGGAGTCTGGGTCAACAGACTCACTGAGAAGCTCACGTAGCCTGAAAACCGGGCAAGGCCAGAGAGCCCCACCGCTCCCCTGAAAAGTGTGGACAAACTGCTTCTATGTGTCTGTTGTTTTGTTGTTTGTTTGTGTTTTTATTTAAATATATTTTTTATTGATTTCAGAGAGGAAGGGAGAGAGAGATAGAAACATTGATGAGAAAGAGCCATTGAT